TTTAGCCCAACACGTGACGAAAGCATTGTTGTCTTTTCTCAGTCGAAATTACAAGTAAATAGTCAAATTTGTCAAGAGAGAACTTTTTTTTTTCGTTGGGATATTTAGTTGTAAAATGGATTTTATTTAACGGGGGTTAATTTCAAATATACAGGTAAGTTTATAATAACCAAAGTTAAGTAGTTTGTTCATAATCGAAGAAATCCGTTAAAAATTTACGATGGTTCAGGCAGTAATAGCCGTACATATCACCGTAGCCAACATGATAACCCCGTTATCCTTCCGCCTCAAAATCATGAATATTTACTAAAACCTGGCAGAAAATGTTAATTCAAACCCTCTTCGTCAATTCTATACCAAATAATCAACAAAAAATGGGCATGCAAAAGGGGAGAAAAGAGACACAGAGAGAATTTCTATAAATAGACGAACTACAATTTAATGGTGGTCTGACTCCATATAGTATTGACAGGAAACTGGGTGACTCAGAGAAAACCCACTAGGCTACTTGTTACAAGTGTAGAACCGAAACCATGGTCTATGTCGTATTTATTTTCTGTTATTGTATTAGGGGTTTTCCTGGAGGTATTAATATTCTGGTTCAGATCAAAACACAGACACTTGTTAAATGGAAAGTCACTATCAAGATATTCGTAGGTCAAAAAATAAAAATATAACTTTTCAGCTGAAACCTCGTTATTATTTCAACAGCAGAAATTACAGTGCTTTTTGACATTTGTTGGTCGATCAGAGTTGATTTTGGCAATAATTACAGAGAAATGAAATGGTGTTTAACGTCCTACTGTTCCTGCTCCGACTGGGTTAATGAAAACGGGCATACGCCATACAGTGTGCTATGGGGGAAATTTTGCCTGGACAGCGCCACTACGGAGTACTCTTATTTCGAATTCCATCTGCGAAGGATTTCTTTTTTAACGTGCACGCCAATGTGTACAGAGCACCTCGGGTTTCATCCCATCCGAAGACCTATACGTTGTTCATTGCCAGGCTTTCCATCCTGATCCACTGACATAGGGAACCACGCTGGAAAATCCCGATGCACTTCTTGGCCAACCCCGGGATCCTACACGGGACATCCAGGTTAGCGAGCTAATATCTTAATCACTGAGCCACCGCGGCTCCCACAATAAAAGAGACGTGGGACGTGGTACAATTAAAGAGCTATACATGGTATATTATTGACTGATTACAGAGAAGCTCCCGAATTTGATTATCTCCCTTATATGACTACTTGATGCATAAAACTTAGCCTAAGAGATTTCCTATTTTACACCCGCATATGACCAAACTTGTTCACTGAAGACAAAACTTTTGACTGTTGAGGTCTCTTCCCGCTAATCAAAATAAGATAGCTGAATATAAATTGGAATGTATATTTTCGGGGCGGTCTAAACCAACCGGGCTAAGCAATGTGCTATGAAAGAAATTTTGCCAAGACAGCATTTAAATTCCAACTGCCAAGGGTTATTTTAAGTACATCCCAACGGGACCTCTTGTATTTGTCACAACCATTACAAGGGTTAGGCAAAAGTAATCCTAATTCAGAATTCCCTATAGAAAGTTAAGTTACCTGCTAAATGCTAAAATTGTGTTAGCTATGTGATTTCTTTAAAAAAGGGTGGCATCGGGTGTTCTAGAAAGAGTAAACATATACCTTCCTTAGCTGAATCAAGACATGAAGTTAAGTTATGATATTTAGTTTATCATTGCCCCTAACCTTAACCGAAATGATAAACTGATAATAAAGATATAAGCTATATAATGCCTAAATAAAGTATATCATAAATACAAGGATCAGATACAGAGCAGGTGCTACCACCATGACGAATCTGTTACTGGGACCTGTTTTACTGTGTCTAATTTACAGTGTTACTGGTAAATATTATTTTTCTTATTTAAAGATGAATAATTAGTCAACCTAAAAGACACAAATAGACTTTGAAGACCCACCATGCTAGAATATGGTTAAAGGGAGGCTAAGATGATGCAAAATCAACAGTACTTTTATTAAAACTGTTGTTGTTTATTAAAAAGTTATTCAAATCGACCAATTCTAACTTAAGTTTTGACCATTTTAAGTTAAACTAGTTTCTATCAATTTCACACGACCATCTTAGCGTGTCTGAGATAAATAAGATAACAGTAGTCTTTAGATTGAATGGCTATATACATATATTTGACTTTAGAGATATATAAACGGTCTGCCTTTGTGCCCTTAAGCGGGTATTGTCACTCTCACCAAGAAAATAAATGTAATTATTTTTGAATAATGTCATTTTCAAAATTAAATACAGATAGTAAAATATATTTCATAAGTCACAACATAGATTGTCTCAGGGCAAATATTATTTAATAATATTTCGATGTATATAGACTGCTGTTATTTTGTAATTGAACATCGCAGCCAGCAAGTCAGTGGTGCAGGACGAATGGCCTAGCATGGACACTGTCTAGTTGTTCAGATGGAAAGAAAAACCGAGGTTCCGTGTACAAATTGGCGTGCATGTAAAAAAAACCTTGACATTTTGGAATTCTAAATAAGAGTAGGCCGTAACGCCAGTATTCGGGTACTGTGACCGTTTCATTTATATATGATTTATATCCACCAACATTGGCTTACACATTTAGATATCTAGCCGCTAACCTTGAACAGATTAAATATAAAAAATAGCTCTTTGTTCTTTTTATTATTATCAAATACAAAATATACGATAAACGATAGCCCATGTATCAGCAAAATTATCTTGAAGGGTGATAAGGCCCGGGCGCCTGTAACGTGAAAAATAACATTAAGCTATGATGTCTAAAGTCTGTTACGTCCATGTTCGTAAGCGAGATTATCAAATAACTGGTCTATTTCCGATGTCCAACTCGGGGGCAAATAACTTGCCTGAAAGCGGCTCTCTTTCTGTAGATATAATAATGCCAAGGTGAGAAACAAGTTGGAATAAAGTAATTGGGATCAAAGTTCACTACTCTAGATTCAGTCAACCAGTGGCAATAGTTCCTGTGACAGCTAAAGACCCCTGCGCGTAAGCGAATTATTGAAATTAAGTTCCTGTGACAGCTAAAGACCCCTGCGCGTAAGCGAATTATTGAAATTAAGATACACGAAATAACTTCCCCGCCATCTATGGTCTGCATTAATTCTATTTTGCATTTATTATCACGTATATGTCCTAATTTCTTCTGAGCGCTCACCGAGCCAAAGTTGCCAACGACGAACCGAGGAGTTATCTCTCTTTATATTTTATGAAATCTGTTAATTTTGTTAAAGGAATGAAATGAAATGGGGTTTAACGTCCTACTGCTCTGCTCCGAACTGGGCTAATGAAGATGGGCATACGCCATACAGTGTGCTATGAGGGAAATTTTGCCCGAACAGCGGCACTACGGCCTACTCTTAAATCGAATTCCAAATGTCAACACGTGCATTCCAATGTATACACGGGATCTCGGTTTTTTGTCCCATCCGAACGACTAGACAGCTGTCCTGCATCACTGACAAGGCCGGAGAACCACGCCGGAAAATCTGGATGAACTTTCTCGGACAATGCAGGGATCAAAAACCCGACCTCCAGGCCAGCGAGCCAGCGTCTTAGCCATCGTGATCCCCGGCATGTTTAATGTTCTGCTCCGACTGGGCTAATAATGATATGTTATAATAAAGGATATTTACATGTTATATCGAATTCCAACTGTTAATGGTTATTTTACGTGCATGCCAATGTGTACACAAGTACCTCGATTTTTCGTGCTATTCGAACGACTAAACGTTGTCCCTTGCCAGATCCCCTATCCTGCATGACTTACAACTGCAAACCATGCAGGAAAATCCCGGTGAACTAACACCGCGATCGAACTCGGGGCCTTAAAGTTAGCGAGCCAAGGTCTTATTCATCGAGCCACCATATCGATTATGTTCCTTTGAGGACTATGTTATACTCGTCTATCACTTCTATCAGAAATTATGGTATGATAACAATAATACTCCTTATTGTTTTTTGTTTTTTGCAAGGTATTTACACAAAATTAACTTTGCTAAACTGTGAATAAGGACACGCCTTATAAAAAAGCTATTGGCAATCTCTTTCTTTTTAAGGGAAACCCTACGATGGCTTACCCGGTGGTCCATGCAAGGTGGATCATTGGTTTCCAAACCAATCTTACGTCATGACAGTGAATGATGTAGTATGGTTGAGGAGCGCACCAATCAGATTCCGTGTTAATGGAAAGGAATATTCTTCTGCAGACGGTGGACTGGAAAAGATTTCTGATAAGGGTATGGCGGGAACGGATAAATTAGGGGATTATATGATTTATACCTGGACATACAAAGTACAAGATCTTTATATCACCATCAACTTTAAACCATATCTTAATAAAAACTATCTAATATTACAACAGGTAAATTATTATTTCGTTATTGAGTACGGGCCACGGTGGGTCATTAACGCGCCAGTTCACTAACCAGGAGGTCCCAGACTCGATCCCGGAGTTATCCGAGAAAGTTGCTTGGTTTACTCCAGTCTGGTTTTCCCGTGTCAGTTCTGCAGGACAGATAACTAAGCAAAGGATAGCTTCTGGTCGTTAAAATTGGACCAAAACCTAGGCCCCATGTACACGTAATAAAGTCCTTAGTAGTTGTAATTTGTTGAAGAGTAGTTACAAAAGCCGATCTCCAGGCAAAATTCCACACTGCAAGATATGTGCCTATTTTCATTATCCCGGATGGTGCAGAAACTTAGGACTTTAAAACCTTTATTGGTCCATACTCGTCTAAGGATGGAGGCCTTGTACTATATGGAAGGGTTCTGTCCAATTATCCTTCAAGTAACCGTCGTAAGTGACAGAATAAATCATAGTAATAAATCAAAGGAAAACATAAATCCAGCAGTTTCCTTACGTATACCCATCAATCTATGTCTATCTTTTTCAGCATTATGTTAACAAAACCTCTGGTACATCAGCAGGAAATATAAATGGCGTCATATCTCATTTCCCCGCATTTAATGTAGATGACACAAGAGGTGGAGAAATGGGTGTATTATCATTTGCTGATTTTTTTTCGGGAGATACAGCCATGACACTTGGAAGGTAACTTTGACTTCTCTTTAATTGTGAAATCATAACCTTAAGTTTGCCTGAGTTGAATAAATCCGCCTTCATGTTAACCATGGCCTATATTGTAACAATATTTTAAAAGAACCAACCACTTAACCATAAGGGGTAATATGGCCCATTCAGATTTGTCTGAAATTGTTATTGGTAATAAAGATCGGAGTTGTTTTCAACTTGCCCCGTATTAGTCGACAGAAACTGGTGAGAAAGGAGTTAAAACGGGACCACAAATTATAATAGGCATGTGACTGAATATGATTTTTTATTTTTATCATTTGAATGAATAGATTGTTTTGGGACAAGCTGTGTGCAGCGACAGAGATAAGCCCGAAGCATGAGTTGGCTTAAATTCCGTGTTCTTTACATCAAAAAGCATCAATGAGAAGCATTAATGAAAAATGCACCATGATTATTATTTAATATGCTTGTTTAGACAAATTATATATTTCATTCAGATGGGCCCCTGGAAAAGTGAAAATAAATTCTGGAATACAAGGAGGTCCTATGGCGTTCTTTGATAAGAAAGATACAGTCATCATCTCGCCGTTTAGTGAATTCACAGCTACCAACACATTTTTCGATAGCGAGGCTGGCAGTATTAGCTGGGGTTTGAAAGGTGGTATTGAAGAAGTACCAGAAAACTTTTTACAACAATATATAGTAATGTACAGTCCAGATGGAATTAATGCTGTAAGTTTCTTTAATTATATGCAAACTTCTTTAGCCTTTTGGGAAATGATAGTTCCTAAACTATAAAATCGTAAAGTAAACAAAAATAAGGGATACAAAATGTTATTTAGATATAGACATTTAGAAAAATCAAGGTTGTGCCTGGACCTCAAATAAAAACAAATTTAACTCGTTTAACTGGAACTAAAGTGTTAACATAGTTAAGAATCACGCTTTTTCGTAGAATGTGGTTTATACAATTGACAATTTTAAATGGATGTCAGTTTATAATACAAATATTACTAATACTTTTTCTCTGAATAACCCAATACTTGCTGAGTAAAACAGTTTATAATTCAGATATTACTTATACTTGTCTGGGTAGCCGTATAGATTCAGATATTACTGAACCCATGAAAGTCACTTTAATTACTTAACTGGCAATGTTAATTTTTTTTCTTTTAAATGTTGTTTACTTTTTTAGGCATTCCGTGAATGGGGAGATGTGATGAGATCATATTATAATCGACCATCATCATACAGAGAATCAGATCTTACCAATAATTATCTCGGTTATTGGACTGATAATGGTACGATTGTTGGACCATTCCTATTAATATCTAAAAATAACTTTCTTGAGAAGTTTTATTATGTTCTGTCATGTCTATATCGTATGTGGAAGCTTTTCTTGTATTGTGGGTCACTTTATTATTGTTTAGATATAATTTTATGTAATACAGTAATATACTAATCCAATCTAATTTCCTTTTTTCCTTAATGTGGCTGAAAGCGTCCATTTATATCATCGTGTTTCCAGATGTAACGTGAGAGTCGCCGTTAAGCGACGACCTGTGAGTTTTTCGTCGTACTGGCTTTTCGGCGACGCGCGACGTCCCAAACATGAGAGTCACCGGTACCACTGCGACGAAGGGTAGCTGGAAAAGGCACCGGTATTGCAATACACACTTTACGATATCGTCGCATCTCTTCAGCGACCTTTGAGTCGCACTGCAGGCGATTTTCGTCTGCATTCTATTCCGCATTCCCGAACCAACATCTATTTCATTTTTTTCGTATGTGATACTAATATCCAGAAAGCCCTAACTAATTCAAAATCTCCTTCATTCTGAATCTCTGAGAAGAACTAAAATATGAAAGCAGCCATTGCCCAGTTTAATTACTCTACGATAACGGTGCCTTTTTTGTCACATTGGTGATCCGGTGACTCTCGTGTTAGAATGTCGCGGATCGCCCACACGCCAGTAGAACGGACAAGTCGCCGATCGTCGTCTGGTTGGCTTAACATTCATTAATTCTATTGTTATTGCATGTATTACATTAAAAACTTCTTACTTCACAATTGTATTTTCTCTCGTCGTTAGAAACATCATATTTTCAAATAAAATAGGTGTGGGTCTCCAATGGGTGAACTAGTTAACATCAAGGGAACGTATAATTAAAGGGTGATTCCGATTTGTGTTGACATGATCAGATCTTACTTTATGTTATTTCAGGAGCTTATTATTATTACCACCCAGCAGATCAACAAAATTATGAAGACACCGTTTATGGAGTTATCGATTATGCTAACAAGCTATCGATACCTTATAGGTAATAGATTTTATTTATTACATGGATGGTATTACTCCATTTCATTTATTACATTCATGGTATTAAATCATTTTTTTTATTTCATACATGGTATTAAATCATTTTATTTATTACATGCATGGTATTAATCTATTCTATTTATTACATGGATGTAATTAATCCATTTTCCGACTACCATACGGTTTTATTTGTATTGCAAAAGGGAATATATTCCGTGTTACCCTTCCGTCAGACTTGACATTCAATAAATAATATTCATTTTATTAAAATTTATTTATTCACATACATACATTTGAGATCATGATTTTTTAATTTTTTTAAACCAGATATTTTCAATATGATGAATGGTTTTACAACACAGATCAACATATTGGTACATTGACATGGGACGCATTACCTGGTGTATTCCCGGATGGTCTCAGGTAGACACGTTGCTTGTATCCCATCAAATTATCTACATGTTATGCGATGTTCTGTTAATAATCATCCACGGTTCATTGGCGTATATTAAAATACATAGTATAGATGTATAAGATCATGTGTTTTATTGAGTTTGCGTTAAAAGGTTGTGTTACTCCGATTAATAAGCAAGATTTATCTGATAGCGAATTCCTACTGAATAATAAAAACCACACACAATATGAAAATCGTTAGGCTGGTGGCCCCTTACCCCGAAAATTATCTGGCATCTAGTTGACGCGGCTGGTTTTATCCAGGTTCAAACCGTTCACTCAAGTTAGCTACAAGTCGTGACGGATTTTGTGTACTAGGTAGATTGTGTTTAATCAATCCGAGAACACATTGTCTCACGTCATAATTGAGGAGCTCGCGTAGCTATCAAATTTGTTTGTAATTTTGCATTTAAAAGATTTGGCCAGTGCCCGATGCATTTTTAGGCATTCGAAATTGCGTTCCAGAAAGAACATAAGAACAGTTAGCTAAAGTCGGGTTTAGTGCACAGGGCATACTATGACTATTCTTTCTAAGATACATGGCACCCTGTCTTATTGATAAAGTCACATTGGTGGTGTACCTCTGTATGTTATAAGGATATAACCAGTAGCAACAATTCCTTCCGTTTTATTTTTCAATTGTTTACCCCACTTTACTTTGTTCTAAAGACATAAGATAGTTAAGTAAAGCGCGTTCAGGAATGTGTAGATTATGATTAATTGACTCCAAAAAGTTCATTAAAAGTCCTTTTTCATCGAGACAATTGAGTAGCTGTCTGACCAAGGTTTATTGTATTATATATCATGCTGCCGTCACAGCACAAAAACTCACGCTTCTTAAACATGTTATATATTAATGCCAACTGAATATTCGCCTGGCCGCTACAATCACTGAAGGCGCGACTTAATTAGCTCGCAATATAAATTTTTATACGCCTACATTTTCATGTGGACGTACTATACCGTGGCCCCTGTATGTCCGTCCGGATGTGCATCCGTCCACGATTGGTTTGTGGACACTCTACAGGTCACAATTTTTATCCGATTTTGACAAAACATGAAATGTAAGTCTATCTCGCAAAGGTCTCGGTTCATTTTGATATTGGCATATATCTGACCGTAACTTCCTGAATTATGGTCCTTGATTGTACGAAAAATCGCTTCTTTTTATGAGCTTGTGCTCTGTCCAGCTCTAGCAAAATGTAGGTGCATCTTGCATGGCAACCACCCGTTTTCTTATGCAAATTAAAATCTAAAACAATTTTTTAACTATTAAGAAAAAAACAAATAAATATGTTGGAAGTTTATCTGGATAAAAAAATTTCCTATTTAGTGTAAATGGGTACACAAAATAGCATGCGGGGGCGTAAAATGAGTGAAAGGCCAGGACGAGTTAATGTTACATTACGTGCGATGATAATGCACGCGCTATCGCGCAGTATGATTTGACGTCACACGTCACACCTATAATACACGTGACATTGAAGGTCAGTCATCTTCTACAGAGTTAAAAGAAGGTTTTTGGATTAACTCTGTGAAACAGATTGATATTAATGGAGTGAATAAACAGAACGATCTAATATCTAGCTTTAATTTTATTGTTTAATGACTTGACTATAATGTTTTCTTTCAGATATGTTTACAATAAAACACAGTGGCCTGTTAGTGCTCATAATAAATGGTGGTATGTATTTTAACGATTCAGTTATCGACACAGAAAATTTAATATTTAAACATTCTTATCCATATCAATATTATCCACAGTCGTCGACATTGCAAACACGACTTATTGGTCAGTTTAAATCAACATTGATGTTTTTATCTTACCGTGAAAAAATGGGCCTCTGATATCCAATATATACGACAAAATGCAAATTTTAAAATTGGCATACGAATCGCGTGCCAGGATGCTTTCGAGCGCCGTTTGTAGTGAAGCGACTCGATGAACGGGGCTAAACATATCCCACAGGAGAATACTGCCGGTTTAGACAGGAATAACCAGACGCCAAAGACTGCCATTCGATTTGGACTCGTCGCGTATTTCACCGATCATAACTGATTAGAAATTAAAATAAAAACAGAAACGATTGAATGTAAATCAGTTTATAGACATTCATATTACATTATTATATGCGTTGCGGCCCATTTGTGTCCATTTTATGTGCCAATGAACAGTGACTTAGCTCCTTTAAGTTATTTTATACTATCTGTTCCGGTGATAACAGATATTGATATTAACTATGAGTTCAAAGTACCGTCAGACTTTATTCATCTGGAAATATTTTAGGGATTTTTCATTTGGTAAAGATTATTTTATCGCGATAATTTGTCGTTTTCCACTGTCGTAGGTCAAGCAACACAACCTATGCTAAACAAAATGGAGGTCAGTTTGATTTTGTACTTGAGGATGATGTTGGTTTTGGTATTCCACTAGAAGAGGTAAGAAGATATAACAAATAATTCAGATTTACGAAATATAAACAATTAAAGCTCATTTACAATAAAAACCACATTCACTATATATCAAGTTTATGTCAAATATCAGAATAATGCATGAAACATTACTAATTCTTTGTTAAGTATGACACACTACATTTGAATCATTCATGGACAAACCGTCTTCTTCTGAAAACTGTCATATAGGCAGGACAGGCTTACTCTTTGTTAAATACAATACATGACAATATTACATGAAAGCTAAATTAGTGACTTTACCATTATAATAGGGTTAATTATCAATTATCACAAAAATCTTTTATATTTAGTGTCAAGTTGTAATAATTAGATTTATTGAATTTCTTATGTTTTATACTTTACACGTTCATTTCCTTTACAGGAATTCTGGAATTCACTTTTTAGAGAGGCGAAAACGTGGGGAATGATAGTCTATGAACAGGTGCGTCTAAATAAACGAGAATTTTAAGTCATAAATTATAACATATCTATTTTGATTTATCCTTACTATTATTTGGTATCCGCCTAGCCCCTAATCTTATTTCTCGGTCATTTTCTGGAACAAATCAGGGTAAAATGTGACAGAACTTTTTTGGGTGATTCCCGAGACATTAACTGATTTCGCCCCTGGGCTATTTCTCAACCGTTTATAACTAGAATCAGTCGTTTCTGACCCCAACCTGATAAAGGTCGCCGGATATCACATACACGGAGGTTTGATAAATTCATTGAGTTTTGCTAATATTATTATCATTTGTAGGATTTTCTAGGAACGTCAAATCAGAAGATGAAGTCTCTAAATACAGATGTTTACCTGACAAAGAACTGGTTAAATCAGATGGGGAATGCGGCACAGAAGAATGGAATAACACTTCAGTACTGTATGGCCTTTCCATTACACATTTTGGCTGCTTTAGAAATACCGACAGTTACACAGGTTAATATATTGCATGTTAGATTCCCGATGACGATGTCTTATTCCAGACAACGGTTGCCATGGAACAAAACCTACATTCACAATACATTGCTTCATTGTTACAGTTCATGTATATTAATTTCTAAAAAAAACCTCTCAGAAAACGAATAATTCTGGATGTTTTGGGCTGAAACTGTCGACAAATCAATGGGCATTTTCGTTTTACTAATCTTTCATGATTTCATCTCGGTAATCAAGCAACTTAAAATATGTACTATAATTTGATAGAATTTTTTTTTGTTTATGTAGTGTTATTATTAGTTTTTTTTTTGTTTTTTTTTTTGGGGGGGGGGGGGGCAGTGGTCTAACGCATGCGCTTTAGTTCATAAGGCCTGACTTTGATTGAAGTGGTCTGCTTTCGGTCCCATGCTTATATTGTTGCCTGTCCTTTTATTAGTCCAGAAATAACCTATTATTTTCAGTCATAATTCTTGGACAAATAGCATACCTGATCTTTTTTCCCAAGTTTCCTCCATTATAGATGTCTCCACCTGATAATCGGATTCATTCATAGTTCAATCACGATTTAACCCATTACATATTTAAAGGCGAGAGTTTCCGCAGATGGTGTGCCTGGCAATACTAATGGTTGGAAGATCGGAATAACATCTCTTTTTCCACAAGCTATGGGTATCGCGCCTTATAAAGACAATTTTTGGACAACAGAATATCAGCCTGGTAATCCGTATGGTAAGTACGTGGATAAGCCGAATACAATTCATTATGGTAACACAGTTACTCGTTCATTTGCAACCTAAATGGGTACTTAATGGATACGAACGATATTTTAGTGTCGATATGATACAGTCTGTCTAAAAAAAATGCATTCATCAGCAATTGAATTTTTATAAGATATAACCCTTTGAAAATCAAAATGATTTTGTTGGTTAACTTAAAATCGAATTCCCACATCGTAAAGAATAATTAAGGGTGTTAGTCGGCGTTCAATTCGTTTTAATGGCTTTGACATGATGAAATCCACTCCATGGTACTTATATCATTTATTTCTTAAGATGTATGAGTGTCGGTTTCTTGTCGTCGGGTTTATATCACCTTGATTTATGATTGATTGCGAGGTGGTCCATCAGGTATTTGTGTTTTCAGGTGGAATGGCAACTCAACCGTTTTTACAACTAACAGTGTCAGTATTAACTACAGGGCCTGTTGGGCCTAGTGATGGTATAGGCTTCACAAATGTAGATTTGTTAATGAGGTAACTGTAGTTTTTTTGGCTTTTTATCTTTTGAAATAGCTTGTGATTTTAAATACATTTAGATGCTAAACAACACCCCCTTCCCACTAAAAACACAATAACAAGCCAACAGCAGCGAGGCTGATGCCCCCCCCCCCCCCGCCGAAATCCGAAAATAAATAGTTATTTCACCACTATATCTCAATAAGAATCAAAGTTGCTGAGCTCCATAGTCTCAACCTATCAAATTGCTCATTGCTCTGCTGACCCTGTGCCGAAAATGCTTATTATCGACCGCTCACTTAATTAGAACCAAAGTTATCTTGTACCCAAAGCATCAACCAAAAAATTGTTTAACTTTGCTTGCCCTAAGCAAAAAATTCTCATCTTCATCAAGGCAAGTTTGAAATTTCTACCTCAATTAGAAGGCACAAATTGCTTATCGCTCTGCTTACCCGGGTTCATCACTCTCACTTAATTAGAACTAAAGTTATCGTGTCCCAAAGCTTCAACCAATCAAGTTGCTTATCCATGCTTACCCTAAACATTGACCTAATGCACATATACACCAAGTTTGGACATTCTAGTTCAGTTAGAAGGAGAGTTATTGCGTCCCAAACCGTGTGACGAACAGACAGACACACAGACGGACACACATACAGACAGTCCCATTAATAGTCCCTTACTTTCTGCGAAAGGTGGGGAACAAAAAAAGGACATACCAGAACAAAAGGTCCTATCCCAGGTAGGTAGAAAACTAAATATTATACCGTATTTACATCAAGCTTGTGAAATATATGAGACATATCTGGATTTAGCCATCACAATTTACTAACAAATACCTTACACTGGATAGTAAGTCATCTAAGGTTCTTATTAATACGCTTCTAATAATTATTCAAAATTCCTTTTCATTTATCTATTTGATTGGGGTGCCAGTGCCCCTCCAGAAATTCCAAATAGCGCTTGTGCCTTATTCATTTCTCATTGATTTGATACTTGCAATGTATATGTATTTCGTCAACGACCCTACTATTTTAACTTGTTCTACTCCGACCTTCACGGAAACCAACACTTCATCCTACGATAACGCCTATACAGATCCCATTTGATCGTTTCAGATGTTGTAATAAAGAAGGTTTAATATTGAAACCTGACCTGCCAGCTCTCGCCATTGATAATCAGATTAGACAGGTAATTAGTGGCTTGAAATATTATTTCTTTAAACAAACAGTGACTTTAAATTAAAACATTTCAAGAATCCATGAGTTAATTGTGGTTAAAATGTGATGATCGCTTGACATGTTTCTAAACGGTCTGGTAGTGGTGAATTTAAATTCTATGATTTCAAGAAAAACGAATCCATGGGTTGATCGTTTGTGAGAAATACTATTGTTTCGTTTTCGTTATTTCTGATCAGTCTCTCTGGTAATGGTGAACCCAGGTCTTTAAGCAGTAGAGGGAACAAGCTACCGAAATGTACATTTAGGGCAGGTGTGAGGAGATTGAATATATAGAATTAAACTAAGGTTAATTCAGATACAGTATCTTCGTGTATAAATTGTTCTGGTGTGACAACAGGCGATCGTTTTAATTAGATTATTGTGGATATTATATAATCAGGTATACTCTTCTTACATCTCAGAATGATAACTCGGTTATGACTATAATAATTAAGTATGTCAAACACAGATACCTTTTTGAGGCGCTTTTATTCTTATTCAGAAAAGCAATCCTTGATTTCACGGGCTACCTGTTGTTAAAGGTGGGTTAAGTATATCTGGGGCGGTTCCAATGGACGGATAATGGTAAACACAGATTCAACGTAATGTAGAAGGGTAGAACGTCAGCACTTAAAATATTATATCTTATGAAGAATTACATTAATCGAACTCTTTCGTTTTAGGAAGCTTTTGCGGATGGTTCTGGTCCAATGGGTGAGGTTTATGTCACAAAATCCGTTATTAATGGATTAGAATTTGGAATTATATTTGCTGCGGATATGAAAGAATCATACCAACTTCGGCCTAGTGAAACTGGGCTTAATGTTGTGAGTTATAGGATAGATTACATTTGCATATAGTTTATTTATAGTTTTTCTACGCAAAACAACTATATGGAATTTTACCGCGACCTTTACAGTCATTACGTAGCCTATAGCAAACTGATCAACAGTGAATATTCGCTGGGCCTCTACACTCATTGAGAGGGATGACATCGGTGCGGGTCAATTAGCTCATAATATTATTTCTTTTCCTTCTGCAAATTAAATTCTAGAACATTTCTTTCAAGTTTTAGAAGAATAAAGATGTTTGAAGTATATATGAATATAAAATATTTAGTGTAAATGAGTATATAATGATTAAAAGGCACCATTCTGCTCGGACCTATGTACACAATGCATGCGCTATCGAGCCAGTGATCGACGCCGTGTAATGTGACGTCACATGTAGATTAGATTTATATGTATAACGAAATGTCAGTCATCTTACACAGAGTTAGAAGAAGGCGTTCCCAATACCTCTTTGAAACAGATTGAGGCAACAGTATTTGTTATAAGTAATTGCTTTAAATAATGAATTGCAAGTAATATGTTCTAATTTCATTTCATTGTAGTTATAATTCATGATGAACCCATTATTTTTCTCGCAATTTTGATTTTAAGATCGGCTTTAAAGGAGCAAAACCGCTTTGATTTATATCAAAATACACTATAGAAGTGAATAAATCTGATGTGCTATATGTATTGGTGATGGGACAAGATATATTCTGTTAAATGTATAGTCCCGAAAAGATTAAGTCGGGGTTACTAATGTTAGTTTGATTTGTGGCTTACTGTCTTAACAATGGAATAACAAACTGGTTATTTCAATACTGGCATTATCTTTTAAATCAAAAATTGCAAAATAGACTGACTGTCATCCCACAAAACAAGTCAGAATATAATATACAAAACAATAGACAATTGGTACAAATCAAAAAGGTCTGGTTATTTTAAATAGAGCTACATGTCAGTACTTTTTGGTTCTGTTTAGACATCTGGTATGGTGATGCCCACTGTTTTCTTCTATTCTGATAATCCAATCGTAAAATTTACTGAAGACAACCCACTATCTTTAACAACAGAATGTGCTACATTCCAATTCTGTCTATATTATACCAGTCCAGTATTAACTGTTGGGTAAGGTTTGATTTAAACATAGATAGATTTATGTGAACAAACAAATTAACTAGATCAGGAGTCTTATTCATCGAAAGGACATTAATTGTTTCAGGCGAGTAGCAAGCCATAATTAATATATACGCAGGCTGGACAGTTCTCTTACTAAAATGTATTGATAATCGTGACGACCACTTAACACTAATGAATGTCTCACACATTGGTGAATACATGTGCATGTATGGTGGCGAATGGGTTTACGATTGCAATGCGCCGCTAATTCGGAATGATCGTAAGGTGATTGCCAAACATTCGTAAATGTTCGTGAACATTCGCGGTCATTCATGCCGGGAAAGCATATTCTCGTTGCTTTCACAACTTTTTCGTAAGCAATCGCAAGCCATTCTCGTTGGTGACAACGTATTTGTATGTGCAGTGATCGTCTGTAACTTTTAAGGATTTGCTAACACTCCTACATGTAGAAACTAAGATTATGAATTTCTGCATACAGGTATAACGAGAGAGAGAGAAATGGGGTTTAACGTCCACTCGGCACAAACTAGGTCATTTCGGGACTAACATATGGTTTAATTTTATTCCAATAATTCGCATGCGCGTAGGGGTCTTTAGCAGTGGGAGGAAACCGGAGGACCCGGAGAAAACCCACGAGTTTGGACAGGCGACCCTACACCTTGTCACGTACAACCGGGGATTCGACACCACGCCAGTCGACTCAATGACAGACTTTATGATACAGCGCGCGCACGCTAACTATTCAGCCATCCAACCCCCTATATGTATAACAGCGCTTTAGATAGTTGCGCAGGAAAAACGTCTTTCACACAAATTTAACTAGTTTTATTCAGCACAAAAATATCCAAACGTGTTGTTATCTTACCCCTGGTGTATTCCAAAAAACATCGACGTATATAATTGTTTGGGGGTTTTTTTGGTTGTTCTTACAGGAACCTGACAGTAATGATATATGGTGAAGTCGGTAAAGTGACACCCATGTCTAACAACAGAGTTAAAGGCATCAGAGCGACCTCCGACGGGGACATTCGCATAAGAGTAGCGGGAAGTGGTAACGAGTCTGTGATCTTCCGTTTCTTGCAAAATACACAGACAGTAGATATAACCTGTGTTATTGGAATGACATCTACGGCTACTATTAGTTTACTAAACAGGAACTGTGAATCGTTTTAAAACGTTCAGGAATATTAATTGATTTAATAAAGACAGTTAAATGTATTTATTTATGTATATGTTTGTATTCCGTGTTATGAAAATGGTGTATAATATAGTTGTAAAATGATATTATAAATAATAAAGACGACTTTATTGCTAAAAATCTTAAATATACTTTTACTCGAAAACTGACTATTTGCAATCAAGAGGGGAAAAGTGGTTCATTAGCCAATGGTCCAATATTAAATCTCAATGGAAAAAACAATTCTACCATCTGGGTTAATCGTTTGGTCGTTGTAATGTTAGACTTTTATTCATAACCGGCCGGATTTTGAATATTTCACGTAAAGTTGAATGGCACGACAATGGCTGTGTGGTTGCAACTTAAGGGGGCATTATCACTCTACCCAAGAAAATAAATTTTATTAATTTTGCATAATAACCCCAGACTTTCCTATTAACACAAATACAAGCACTGTAGTATTAATATTACTTGATTAGTAAAGTAACAGTTAGATCATATTTATGGTCGTTTTTTATGGCCACTTCTTTATATGCACCCCGTGTCTATTCAACTGCGAAATAACAACAGACCAAATGTATTCATACTGAAATGCCTGGGTGATCTTTCTAAGAGATAGTGTGTTGGGAGTTGTATTTTGTCTGGATAATCAAACTTGACGTGTGTTCTAAAAATATACCAGTTATTAATAGATGTAGATGATTAATATAAAACTAGCAAAGATAATCATTCGTTATATTCAGTTTGTAACATCGTTGAGAAGAGTTTATATAACTTGAGTGAGATATGATTAGTGAGTGACAGGTATGTACATTTGTTAAATATTTATGGCAAGGTTTGCGGGCTTTTCTGTGGAAGATAAGGGGGTCTGGGAAGACATTTAAAAAAATGATTTTATAAGTACAATATCTTGTTGGAACTCTTGTGGTAACAAACATCACAAATCAAAATACCCAATGAAAATCTTGTAGAATGTGACACCACACAGGTAGATAACGGGGTCTTGTGAAATTCTAGTGTGGTACACAGGCTGAAACATCCTATAGAAATTATTCTAAGGCGAACATTTGGTGGAATGTGGTACCATCCTGGGAAATAGGGAAATTCTGAGAAGACATTTTTGAGAAAAATGAATTTTTTCTATGTCCAATATCTTGTGGAAGTCTTGTGGTAGACAGCACAAAAGAATACAACCTTGTAGAATATACTTACAAGATGATAGGATAAACTATTAATGTTCCAGCAAAATAAATATAAAATATTTCATAAATTTTTCATGGTCCAACTTTTCCAAACGCCCCCAAATCTTGCCATATCTAATATACTCTTTAAAAAAAGTAGGGGATATTGAAATGCAAATACCTATGCAGGTTGTGATATGATAAATAGTCATGGACACGACATGCTTTGGGAGTATGTTCACAGATGAAGAATTTATCGCCCCAACGCAATCGCGCCATACACGTGGGGGGGGGGGGCATTGTCAAATTTGACACTTCAAGGAAAGGTTGATGAAAACTGCCGCGTGCTGGTTTATCTATCCATGTTAGCATTCCCATCGGTTCTTGCATAAGATTTACTGTTTAGCGTATCTTTGCTTTAGTGTGTTACGTTTAATTCGATCGGGAGACGTGTTCGTCAACGTCAATCGACAACACTGCAAGCATTGGCCGTGCAAGTGGAGTGGGTCAGATTGCCCCAAACCGTGACTGGACGGTTGATTAGGAGCATGCCACGACGAATTGCCTAATGTCTGAGGATTGGTGGAGCAATTACTCATTATTAAGACAAAAATCGAAAACGTCCATTTTCACTTTTGACAGTGTATCTCTTTGCGAGTGAAATGGGGCCGTCAGATAAGCCGACCATGTGAACTGTTTATGTTCATGTGTGGGCAATTGACCTGTTATTAACATACACTGGTTACCTCTAATAAAAGCAGCAGTGCATTTCCGCAGTTTTGTATTGTTTCTGAATATCCCCTACTTTTTTTTGAAGAGTATATTAAAAGATCTAAACCTCCTATATTTAGGTGATATAAAGACTGAAATGGGGTTGTGATATCGTGGTCAATCATGGGACAAGATGTAAGGATTAAAGTTTGGTTACCAAATAAAAAAAACCGGCATTGACTCATCACAGAAACAAATAACCGATATCAAGTTTAACGATATCAAAGAGAGAGATCTAGTAAATTTACATCTGTAATTCTATAATATTCTCTTTTGTAAACTAACCAAAACTGTACAATATACTTGCTGTCGTAACTCGATTTTACCGTTTCGTCCAAAGGAATTTGTATTTGGACCATTGATTAGGGTCAAAGATCATAAACTTATCAGCTCCAAAAACATTTTCCTTGGATCACTTTCCAACAGACCTAGTAATTAGTTGTCTTAGTGAATTACTACCTTCTATAACTTCAATAATCATCTCTTCACTAGCACGGTTCATCTTCCCAGATGCCTTTAAAACTGCTAATATACATCCTCTTATGCTGAAATAATTTCTAACAAATCGTAGTCAATATGTAGTCATAATTCAAAGAGTACAGCAGGGTTCCGTCTTAAGGTCAATACTTTTTAGTCTGTATACAAAACCGCGTGGTTCTATTGTTAGGAAATATGGTTTTCAATTCCATTGGTATGCGGATAATACACAATTGTATTGTTCTTTTGAAGCTCTAGATAAAAACTTTATTTTACGAAAGTCAGTGTGTAAAATTGTATATTAGAAATTAAATCATGGATGACACTGAACTTTCTTAAACTTAATTCTGACAAAACTGAATATTTATGTATGGGATCTAAACAGCAGTTGCACAAGATTTCAGACACTAAAGATATTTATGCAGGGGATAGTCAAATTATGTGTTCTGCAGCAGCTAGAAACATAGTCGTTATATTCGACCAAAATATGAATATAGAAGCACGCGTAAATAATATTTGTAAAGGGTGTTATTATTATTTAAGGAAAATTGGTCAAATAAAAAAGTACATTAATAATGATGGAACAAAAACTATAATTAATTCATAAGTTACCTCAAGAATTTCAGTTCCTCATTTTCTGGACTTCTCTCTCAGTAATTTATAAATTCAAAAAAGTACAATATTGTGCAACTAGGCTAACAACAGAAACCAAACAGTGCTCTTATATTAATCTAATATTGTACTGTCTTCACTGGTAACCGATTCATTATAGAATTAAGTTTAAAATTATGTTTCAACAACCCCTGACCGGCATATTTATCAGAACTTCTTGAACTGTGTACCCCTAAAGGCAACCTCCGCTCTTCCTCGGATCCATGTCGTCTTGTTACACGCTATGCAAATTTAAGCCGATTTGATGATCGTTTATTCTATGTACAAACCCCCTACTCTACCTTCTTGTCTAATTATATTATTTTTATGTACATGTTATCCATGTACATTTTAACTGTGTACACCTAACAGTTGAACCTATGCGCTATATAAATTTTTCAATAATAATATCAATAATAATAAATGCTACTGCTTGAGACGTTTTGGGGGGCTAATATATTTAACATAATTATGTTTAACTTTTCTTCCAGAGAAACTTGTATTATTGCTGATACAAAAGAAAACATGGAGTCATTGAAATGCCTAGTTGTGGGTGACGGTGCTGTTGGTAAAACTTGTATGCTTTTTTCATACGCTTGCAACAGATTTCCTATTGAATATGTACCTACAGTAAGTGTAATATATTTAACACAATGTTAGGTAGAACATGCAGTAAGGGGTACTAACCAGGCTGTCCAGACTTCGATTTCGGTGTTATCAGAGTAAATTCCCTGGGATTTTACATCGTGGTTTTCCATTAGAACAGTCTTTGGTGCGTCGGATGGGACGAAAAACCGAAGTCCCGTTTACACGTAAAATAACCTATGGTAACTGGATTTCTAAATAACAGTAGGCCGTAACATGCATGTCTTCATTAGATCGGTGGTTGCAGAACAATAGGACGTCATACCCCATTTCATTTCTATTCACAAAGGTTTAATATCAACTAATATTAAAGGCAAGCAAGACTTTTGAATACTCCTTAAATATATAGAGCGAATTTCTTTTAAAACTTGAAAAATGGGAAGGACCCAAAGTACATGCCAATTCCAAGATGGCGGGGATGGCGTCATCTCCTGTTCCTGTTCCATGCAGTACTATCGTACTTGTGTTTAATGCTAAATGAATTTTAACATCTCGTATTTATTCTACTGTGGAGTTGTCTTTTATTTGTTCACCAGGTATTTGATAATTACTCTGTAAATCTGACGGTTGGAGGTGAAATGTATTCACTGGGTTTATTTGATACAGCTGGTCAAGAAGATTATGATAAATTACGACCCTTAGGTTACCCCCATACACATATTTTTCTGGTGTGTTATTCTGTTGTTACTCCAGCATCATTTGAAAATGTCACTACGAGGTAAGTTGTGTATTTTAGATATTTGTAGCATTTTAGGTATCATAGAATATAGGAGGTTTAACCGGTAGTTTATACCACTTTGCAGGTGAAGCGAGTTGTGGTCGATATCCACATAGATTGGTTCCCGTAGCTTATCGTGTATTTATTTCTTTTATTACAGTGGGTCCCAGAAATTACTTTACATTGTCCAAAAACACCATTCTTATTAGTGGGAACACAAACAGATTTACGAGATGATATTGGAACCATAAAAAAGTTGGCCAAAAAGAAAGAAAAACCAATTTCAGTAGAACAAGGTGAAAAACTAGCAAAACGACTTGGTGCTGTTAAATATGTAGAATGTTCTGCTTTTACTCAGGTATGTAGACTTCAACAACCTATAAACAATACTGCTAATTGCTTCCGCTAATCATTTGTCTCTGCTACCCCACCCCAGGTTCGTTGCATTTGGCCTAGGCAGTTGAATAAACCTTCTCAGGCATGTTTTAGAGAATATTCCTGATTTTGATACGGGGTATCACCTACAAATATGTCGTTTGATCACCCACCCCAAATAAAAATAAAAAAACATAAAAAAAAACTATAAAAAAACTAATAGGATGAGTGTGACGTATAGGGCTTTTTTGTTGCTGTAGAGATTACGAAAGTTGTATAGGTCATGAAATGGCATGGATTTAATACTGAAATCAATGGGAATGACACTATTGTTCCTTAAAATATCATGTGATTTTCAACTTATTATTGCAAGTTATTCACGAATTTATTCAATGTTACTTGACGCTACGACTGTACTTCATTGTTATTGATAACACTTGATATATTTTCTTTTGTTATTCTTTACAGAAAGGTTTGAAGAATGTTTTTGATGAAGCAATCATAGCAGCACTTCTACCGCAGCCAAAGAAACCTGAAAAAGGGAAATGTGCCATTTTATAAATTTAATGCAACATTTTAATGGAGTTTTATCCAATGTAGAAAACAGTTGTTTAGATAGAAAGTAAAATGCATAAGTTAGCCCGTTTGCATAAACGACAATATATCTGACTTGTGGTCATCTGGATTTACAAGGAGATGGTGCTAGTGAATGTGACGATGACTGCGACCCCTATCCCACCCTCTTACGCTGAAAATGTGATATAATTCTGTTATATTTATTCAGATTCGAATTAAATATTGCCTTAATTGCGTCACAAGAAAGAAGGTGTTAGAATAGTGAATGTGTCGATGAACTTCTGTCAGAAGTAAATGTAAACTTTATCTGTGAATAAATGTTAAATGTACTTTATCTGCGAATAACTGTTACTTAAGTCCTTTTGTGATTATTTTTAATTGTTACAATAGATCCTTTTGTGATTACATGTATTTTTAATACGTGTCGGATTTCTGTTTCATTAATAACAGATTCTAGTATTGTTATTTATATGATCATTGTTATTAAAAATATTGTTTGAAATCACCATTGCCTTATTAATGAATGAATGTTATGTATTCAAGATGTTATTCAAATGTCTAGTAGTGCAGCTTAGTCAATGGCATTTAGTAATTGATCTGGAAATACTCAGGTCACAAATCTCTAAAATACAAGGGGGTTCGCGGTGGCTAAGTGGGTAAGAAGCTTGCTCGCTAGCCTGGAGGTCGGATCTTCGATCCCTGCATTGGCCGATAGAGTTCATCCAGATTTTCCGGCGTGGTTCCCCCTTGTCAGTGATGCAGGACGGAGGGCCTGGCAAGTACAGCTGTCTAGTCGTTCGGATGGGACAAAAAGCCAGGTCCCGTGTACACATTGACGTGCACGTAAAAAATCCCTTGACAGATGGAATTCGATATAAGTGTAGGTCGTAGTGCCGCTGTCCGGGCAAAATTTCCCTCATAGCACACTGTATGCCCGTCTTCATTAGTCCAAATCGGAGCAGAACAGTAGGATGTTAAACCCAATTTCATTTCATTACATTTCTAAATACGGTTTACTGGGCGACAGGATAGAGAACACACTGATTAGCAGTGAATATTCGCTAGACCGCTACAATCATTGATAAGTATGTAAGTAAGTAAGTAAATTTTATTGCATAAAAACGCCCACGAGGAGCAGCATACAATTACAAAAATTACATAAATACAATACAACAAATATACATGTAACAAATAAACGAACATTAATACAATGCAAGTATGATATGTTGCTATAGCATTATAATACTGCCTTTAGCTTTTATGAACGATTCACTAATTTTGAATAATGTCATATTCACAATAACCCTAGACTTTCCTAATTAACGAAGATCCAACCACTGACCTATACACACAGTAAGATATTTTGCGTCAACGTTCTTTAAGCTCATTAAGAATCACACAAAGTGTGTACGACTCATAAATTGACTACCTATATATTATCTGAGTGATGACTCGGCATATTTGTTTAATTCAATTAGAACACATCCATGTCGCTAATAGATAAATCTCATCAATACAAAACCCATTTTTTAAACAATCAGCCAAGTCGCCCCAAAGATCTATAATGCCTGAATATATGATGCAGATTTTGTAAGATATATTCGCCTTACAATAGTTAGAGTATCCGTTGAGGGGAGCCCTGTGTGAATTTATATGTCCCTTCAATTTGACTCTTGAATCAAAGCGTTTACAACGAAAAATTACAAAATTACAAACGGTCAGACCGAATGATTTCGTCTCACAGCAGTTTTGCCCTTTCTTTTGCCTCCATCCTTGAACACCCCAAAGGTTCATAAATACACAACAAAGCAAAACCTTTTTAGGCCATTTGAAACAACTAGTATTTTTACATTAAAAGTCCACATGACAATAATATGTTTTCGTATTTAGACACGTGATCTTGTTGACAATTACCGCGATTTTGTTATACAAGGTGACCCAAACCGTTGCCCCGTTTTAGTTAAACCTGATAATTTAGGTCTACCCTAGAGCCACGGTATGCGTACTCCATCTTAAAGACTCGATAACACATCTTAAGTAAATGCAGTAGTAATAACTGTAGGTGAGTATTAATTTTCCTTCCTTAACAGTTAAAGTCATATTCATAGTCGATTTTTATGGCCACTCCTTTATATCCAATCCTTGTCTATTCAACGGCGAAATAACAACAGACCAAATGTATTCATACTGAAATGCCTGGGTGATCTTTCTAAGAGATAGTGAGTTGAAAGCTATATTTAGTCTGGATAATCAAACTTGAGGTGTGTTCTAAAAATATACCAGTTATTAATAGATGTAGATGATTAATATAAAACTAGTGAAGATAATTACTCGTTATATTCAGTTTGTTACATCGTTGAGAAGAGTTTATATAACAGTGAGTAAGATTTACCAATTAGTGACAGTGGCAGGTAAATAAGATAAGGTATGTACATATATTAAACCTTTATTTAGGTCAAAAAAAGGTTGAAACAGGGTTGTCGTATTTCACTAAGTAGTGGGACAAGAAGGATTAAAGTTTTGTTATGAAATAAAAAAAGACATTGACTCGTCAAATAAACATAGCCAACCCGGAACGTTTATTTTTTACCGATATCAACGAGATCTTTTATAAACTAACCAGAACTTTACAATATACTTGCTGTTGTAATCTGGTTTTATCGAATTCGTTCACTCGGCGTTGTATTTTGACCACTGATTAGGAGCCGTTTATTTTTGTTTCTCTCTGATAAATTAACTCGAACATATCATACTTTATTTACACTGTAAGGATTGTACATTGTAGAATGTGTTAAAAGTAGGGCTACAGTGTTTTGTTAACATACCACACGTCACTGTAAAGGACGGTGACAGGTATGTTTAAATAAATTACTCTTAAAGGCCATTTATTTCCTGTTACCTTTATTTAGTTGAGGGAGTGGATGGCCGTATGGTTATGCGTGCGCGTTGTATCATAACGGTTGTCATTGGGTCAACTGGCGTGGTTTCGAATCCCCGGTTGTACCTGAAAAGGTGTAGGATCGCCTGCCCAACCTCGTAGGTTTTCTCCGGGTCCTCCGGTTTCCTCCCACTGCTAAAGACCCCTACGCACAAGAGAATTATTGAAATAAAAAATGAACTATGTGTTAGTCACGAAATGACTGAGTTTGTGTTGAGTGGACGTTAAACCCCATTTCTCTCTCTCTGTTTAGTTGAACAATGATGTCTGGCTATGGTCTTTCACGTCGCTAAATTTTAAGATTATATAGTCCTAATATAATAAATACTAAATTTTGAGACCTATATTGGCCTACTTTATAACCCTAATCATATAATAAATGCTTCATCTTGAGACTTTGTTTTGCCTTATATATTTATCATAATTATGTTCAACTTCCAGAGAAACCGGTATTATTGGTGAAACAGAAAGTAAACATGGAGGCTTTGAAATGTGTAGTTGTGGGTGACGGTGCTATTGGTAAAACGTGTATGCTTTTTTCATACACTTGCAACAAATTTCCTAGAGATTATGTACCTACTGTAAGTATAATATATATTTAACATAACTTTGGGTGGATTAGGGAGTAAATGGAGCTGGTTCACAAGCCCGACTGTCGAGGGTTAGTTCTCGGTGTTGACAGAGTAAGTTCCGCGAGATGTTCCAGCATTTGTTTCCATAAACACAGTATCTGGTCCATCGGATGGGACGAAAAACCGAAGTCTCGTTCACACGTTGGCATGCACGTAAAATAATCCATGGCAATTGGACTTCTAAATAAGAGTAGGCCGTAACATGCATGGCCTCATTCGCTCGGTTGTTGCAGAACAGTAGGACGTTATACCCCATTTCATTTCACAAAAGTTTAATATCAACTAATATTAAAGGCAAACTCAACCTTACACCCAAACTATAGTAATGAATCTCCTTATTTAAAAATACATAGTGCGGGTTTCTGTTAAATCTGGGAAGGACTCCTCCAGAACCGCCACCACCAATCTCGATAATATTTGGTATTGATGTTCCCTGGTCAATTGCAAAATGGCGGTTCCTGTGACAATTCCAAGATGGCGGGGATGACGTCATCTTCTGTTCCTGTTCCATACATTACTATCGTACTTGTGTTTAATGCTAAATGAATTTTAACATCTCGTAGTTATTCTACTGTGCAGTTTACATTGTATTGCCTGTAATTAATTGTTATATTTTATTTGTTCACCAGGTATTTGATAGTTACTCTGTAAATCTGACGGTTGGAGGTGAAATGTATTCACTGGGTTTATTTGATACAGCTGGTCAAGAAGATTATGATAATTTACGACCCTTAGGTTACCCCCATACACATATTTTTCTGGTGTGTTATTCTGTTGTTACTCCAGCCTCATTTGAAAATGTCACTGAGAAGGTAAGTTGTATATTTTAGGTATTAATGTGGTTTTAGGTATCATAGAGAAATACTTTTATCATAACCATATTTCATTAACTGTTAAAGATGCATTATAATGGTTGAAAAAATAGATCTTAAAAATGAATGTGTTGAAAATTCCAGTAAAATAACTCTTTATTCTGAGGGAAGTTATGAGAGAGAGGGAGAAATGGGGTTTAACGTCCACTTGACACAAACTAGGTCATTTCGGGACTAAACATATATGGTTTAATTTTATTTCAATAATTTGCTTGCGCGTATGGGTCTTTAGCAGTGGGAGGAAACCGGAGGACCCGGAGAAAACCCACGAGGTTGGGGGAAGTTATGAGTGTTTGTAGTTTGGACAGGTTTAGACAATATCCTAGCGTAGATTGTTTTTATCGTAGCAACGGTACTTGGCAATCTTTGATTTATCCTCTTTATACTGTAGTTAAATATTTAAATCCTAAATCTCGGCCATCCGAAGATCTAGAGAGTAGATTGTGGGTTTGTAATGGGGTTTGGTGATGTTACACGTGAGTTTTAGTCATTAGGTCTATGATTGAGTCAGGTGAAGTGGTTTCGATCCCATCCTTCTACGTGACAAGTGTTATTGAAATGTAATTGCATTATGTAAGTCCAGAAATGGCCTCGTCGGTTTATAGTGGGTGCTGCCCCCCCCCCTCTCTCCCTGTCTTATATTTTATATTATTGTGTATTTATATTATTTTTATTATTACAGTGGATCCCAGAAATTACTTCACATTGTCCAAAAACGCCATTCTTATTAGTGGGAACACAAACAGATTTACGAGATGACACTGAAACCATAGAAAAATTGGCCAAAAAGAAAGAAAAGCCAATTTCAGTAGAACAAGGTGAAAAACTAGCAAAACGACTTGGTGCTGTTAAATATGTAGAATGCTCAGCTTTGACTCAGGTATGTAGAATTCAACAACGTATAAACAATAATGCTATCAAGTTCGCCAATTTTTTGTCACCTCTACACCCTTCCCCCCACCCACCTTCATTGCAATGTTCGTTGTAGTTTGGTCTGGAAGTGGAGAAGAACATTTGAATTTACTTTTTCTGACATGTTTTAGAGAATATTCTAGATTTTGAAGCGGTAAATCACCTACAAAAGTGTCGTTTGAGCCTATAGATTCCTTTGGTGTAGGAGAAAATCAAAATGCCCCGTCGACCCCCCCCCCCCCCCCAACCCTAAAGTAATCGGTTGACTGACGTGTAGGGCAATAGTTGATTTAAAAATTTGGAACATGTTATGGGCCAAGAAATATCGTGGAGTTTACACTGAATTCATTGTTCTTTAAAAATTACGAACTTATTCAATGTTACTTGACGTCACGACTGTATTTCATTGTTATTGATAACACGAATACATTTTCTTTTGTTATTGTTTACAGAAAGGATTGAAGAATATATTTGATGAAGCAATCTTAGCAGCACTTCAACCGCCACCAAAGAAACCTAGAAGAAGAAGGAAATGTGCCATTTTATAAATGGAATACAACATTTTAATGGAGTTTTATCCAATGTAGAAAACTGTTGTTTTGAAAGTAAAAGGTAGAAGTTAACCCACCCATATAGTTGCATCAACGACAATAGATCTATCGTGCGGTCATCTGGGTTAACAAAGATGGCGCTAGTGAATGTGAGATGATTGCGGACCCTATCCCACCCTCTTACGCTGAAAATGTGATATAATTGTATTATATTTATTCTGTGAATAGTTCCCATAATAACGTCTGATTCGAATTACATATTTATTGCCCGAATTGCGTCACAAATAAGATGGTGGTTTACTAGTGAATGTGTCGATGAACTTCTATTACAAGTAAATGTAAACTTTATCTGTGAACAGAACACATTTATGGGATACAATCACTAGTTTTATTCTAAAAGCACGACGTTTCGACAAGTATACTCTTATCATTATCAAACACAAACAAGATGGTGGTTTACTAGTGAATGTGTCGATGAACTTCTCTTAGAAGTAAATGTAAACTTTATCTGTGAATAACTGTTAAAAGTATATGTGAACTTTATCTATGACGTACTGTTTAAAGACAATGTAATCTTTATCTGTGAATAATAATAATAATTCATTTATTCGTAAGTAAATAAGTAAACTTACAAAGATTCAATGAAGAATGTATAAATATATAAATATACATATATGTAATGTGAACCGTAATCATACAATCACTATTCTGTACACAGAAAGTTTATAATTTCATAAATTTTATATACATCTCGCATCAATGTTAAATCTCTGATACAACCATTTTTTTTTATTTTATCATCATCATCACTACTCAAATTAATATCTTGTGTATTAACAATATTTAATAATTCTGATGCTTTGATTGTATTAAAATGTACATATTTATTCAGATTATACTTATAACAAATATAATTTCTACTATTAAAGATACATTATGGAAGATTAGATAAAGAGCTGGCAGTTCTTATAATAGTTAAACACTGGATAATGTAAAGGGAATTTGCTGAAAATTTCAGTCAAATTGATCCTCTCTGAACCGAGAATTTAGCGATTGAATTTTGGGCCTAGCCTCGATCATCATTACTAAAGTCGGTACGATAAAAACATAGGCTCAATTATCCATTTCATGATTAAATCAAAAGCAGCAGACCGGGCTCTAATCCAGTAAATATCGCAGGATAGCGATTCCATTGAGAGTTGATTATGGCCTGGATAAGTTAATTAATGTCTAATTAATAATTTAGATAACATTTCAGGCCTAAAGAAAGACCTGCAATTGGAAGATTTAGCTTTTGCATAATGTATGTTTAAATATGGTTGACTGACTTCTGTGTAGAGCCAGCAAGGTGCATTCATTATTACGTTTTAGCCCTCTGCAGATAAATTTAAAAATCCTTTTGTGAAGTTGTGCTTCAATTGAGATATCATTACAAATATTATGTGCCCGATGTGATGCATTTAACAATCTTCTTATGCTTTCTATTAACCACAATCAAATTTTCAAAAATCCCACAGCTGGCACCCATATATTGACATGAAAAGCTTGTGAACAGGTTATATATTAAATTTTCTTTAGCATAAAAACTACGTATGTACATTTCAATTAACTCATCTTTAGCTTTACAAGCAAATGTATTGCCCAAGTGAAGTTCTAATTTAAAGATGTCTACTCATACAAATATAAAACTTTTAAGAGTGAAATTAACTTTAGCATAAAAACTATGTATGTACATTTCAATTAACCCATCTTTGGCTTTACAAGCAAGTCTATTGCCCAAGTGAAGTTCTAATTTAAAGATGTCTACTCGTCTACCATTAATCTAAACATTCTTCCCATCAACAGTATGGTTTTGTTTTGCAAGAAAAACAAAAAGTTTTGCTTTATCAGGATTGAATTTTACAATATACTCTTCAGAGTAATCTTTTGCAATATTTAGTAAATCAGAGACTCCTTAGGTGACAAAAGTTACATCATCGGCATAAGCTATTGCTCTGACATACACATGCCCAATGGAATAACCAATAACTCTTAAAAGAAAATGTAAACTGTATCTGTGAATAACTGTTACAGTTAATACTTTTGTGTTTCTTTTTAATATATGCCGGATTTCTATTTCATTAATACCAGAATATTTTTTATGAATGTTATTTATAAATTTCTATTGTTTTTTTTTATATACTAATTGTTATTAAAATTTTTCGAATCAATGTTGCTTTGTTATTAGATGGAAAGTTATACATTTTGCAAGAGATGGTCTGAGAACAATCTTTAAAGCGCGACTTTTCGTACAATCAAGACCATAATCAAAGAAGTTTACGGTCTGATACGCGCAAATATCGAAAGGAACCCAGGTCTTCGGGATATACATGTAAACATATATTTTAAGTTTCATCAGAATCGGATAAAAATTGTGACTTCTAGGGGATCCACATGCTTGGTATTACATACTTTTACACTATTTGCGTACAGACAGTGACCAATTTGTCAGGCAGTTTCGGTCCGATTTTCACGAAATTCACAACGTAACGGGGATATATTTAAACCTGTTTTTTTTTTAAATCGGATACAAATCGTACAATCAGGGGTCATAATCCAGGACGTTACGGTTCGATATGCGTGAATATCAAAACGAACCGAGATCTTATAGGATATAAACGTTATATTTTAAGTTTCATCAAACACAACCGTCATTATGGTTTAAAGGTGATAGATGTGAACGGTTTTGAAAATCGGATAAAAATCGTACAATCAGGGGTCATAATCCAGGGCGTTACGGTTCGATATGCGTGAATATCAAAACGAACCGAGATCTTATAGAATATAAACGTTATATTTTAAGTTTCATCAAACACAACTGTCATTATGGTTTAAAGGTTAAAAATTATGCCCTCTAGAGGATACTGTTCATACATCCATTTCCTACAATCCAGGACGTTACGGTCCGGTATCCGCGCATATCGAAAGAAACCGAAATCTTTGGGTTATGAACATACATTTTATGTTTCATCAAATCGGATAAAAAGTTAAAAACATGGTATTTCGTATAATCAGGGGCAATAATCCATGTCGTTACGTCCGATGCATACCAATATCGAAAGGAATCGAGTTTTGGGGATATAAACCTGTAAGTTTCGTCAAAATCGGATAAAAATTGTGACCTGTAGACTGTTCACAAACAAATTGTGGACGGGCGTCCAGACCGACAGGGGCGACGACAATATACGACAACATGAAAATGTGGCCGTGTAAAAATAGTAAATATTATCCATAATATCGAAGTGGTTTTGTTGTTGGCCTATCTGATACTCCGTTCCATGAGACATACGAGAATTAGCTCATTATCCAATTTAACCCACACCAAAAGACACGAATGTTGATCGGATTATGCGAGGCTCGGTGGCTCAGTGAGTAATACTCTGGCCCGCGAGCCAGGGGGTCTCGGGTTCGCTTCCGGTGTTGGCTGTATTTTCCGGCACAGATTCCCTTTTTCAGTGGTGCAGGACAGGGGGCCATGTAAGGACAGTGTCTAGTCATTCGGCTGGGACGAAGAAACGAGCTGCCGTGCATACATAGGAGTTCACATAAAAGAGCAATAGATAGTTGGGATTCTAAATATGAGTAAGTCGTGGCGAGAAAATTCCCCATTGAACACCGTATGGCATACGCCTGTCTCCATTAACCCAGACGTTAAACCCCATTTCATTTCATTTCATTTTTGTCTGATTTATCACGATGACAAGTTCTTCTTCTGAAGACACCGGTTAGCTCACGTTTTCGGCATTGAATGCTAGCCTTGTCCGAATAATCCAGATCGGAAGCTATCCAACGTCAATGTACAAGAACATTTAATATTTGACGGTATTGTTCGATACGACAAAAGGACAACTAAACAAGTTGTTCATGGATTGTTCAGAAAACCATTTTCCCGCCACCAAACCTTTAAACACGCCAAATAACAAAATTTTGAAGATGGATTTAGTTTTCCCTGTATTTTAAACTTTGCAAAATACAATAAACACCAAAATTGTTATGCGCACAATCCCCATCCCATACATACACCCGCATACACACCAAAACCTACACCTTTCGGAAATTCTGCATGTGAAATAAAACACCAGATCAAATCAATTCAACACATTATTTTGAAAACAGAAAAAAAAGAATTTAATTTAAAACTTCACTTTTAGTTTATTATTATAACTACTATTTTATCACATTAAAACCATGCTAATAGTTACATGTTTTAATAGTTACACTTGTTACTGTTTAAACTCAATTCAGTAACACCAGCTGTTCCTAAAGTACAGTCGACTATTACTTCATTCATATTTCTGAAGAACCGAAAGCTAACTACTTCGTTAGGAACACCGACCAGTTGCAGAAAAAGGTCATCTGAATTAACTCGAATTCCGGTTACTCGATTATTTGACATCGGCGTCCATTTTCCAACTTCACCATATATCCGAACCTTGTCATTTCTGAAAATAAAATAGATAAAAACAATTCAGTTACAAGCAGTAAAAAATGGGCATTACTTCCCTATATTAAGTTATCAATTAAAACTTAAGTTTCTGTTAAGCTTTTCAGATACACTTCAATAATGGTTGATTGTTTTACTGTATCATCAGGTTAAGGAATTTCTGGATTTACTCGAGTCGGGTCTGAATTAAACACTACATCGGTTCCCGGGAAATTTTTTCACTTTCAACAAACAAAGTATAATTACCCAACAGTAAATACTGGACTAAAATAATATTAATTACCCAACAGTAAATACTGGGATGTAATATAAATATAATTATCCAACAGTAAATACTGGACTATAATAATATAAATATAATTACCCAACAATAAATACTGGACTATAATAATATAAATATAATTACCCAACAGTAAATACTGGACTGTAATAATATAAACAGAAGTTTCTAGATGTACATGATGTGGTTATCTTTAATGGTTGACTTTCACTAAAATCTATCAGATTAACATTTATATATAAATCACTACTCATCACCATGCTGCCTTGTGTCTGAAAAAAGGTATGATAGAATTATATTTGTTAAAATTTGGTAGCATATGGTAACTAAAGGAAGGAATCTCGCATCATTTGGTCGAAAAATGTCCACCTGTGGGATAATATTTAGCATGTTGGCTTACAATGTATTCCAACTTCCAATCGGCAGACATATTGATTTTCACTTCCATCAAACTAATGAATTCGAAAGCTATCTCGGTAATCTGAAATGATAATTCATTTGAGAAAGGCTGTTCCGGCTGGAATCGAACATTTAAAAAGATGAATCAAGTTCTACAATGCCATGGGTTACTAATTTTAAAACGACGACCGAAAGACTATAACGGCTCTATGAATTCACTATATCTAATCATATTTCATTCAGTTGTTGCAAGAGCGAATCGGAATAAGAATCTGGTAAAGATAAATAAACAAGTTATATTTTTAAAATGTATTAAAATAAAGCCTTAAAATAGATGGTATCTATAAACAGTCCTATTTTGTTAAAGAATAATCCCATTAATCCTGGGGGGTTGGGTGGCCGAATGGTTAGCACGTGCGTGCTGTATCATAAGACCTGTCATTGAGTCAACTGGCGTGGTTTCGAATCCCCGGTTGTACGTGGCAAGGAGTAGGGTCGCCTGTCCAACCTCGTGCGCTTTCTCCGGGTCCTCCGGTTTCCTCCCACTGCTAAAGACCCCTACGCGCAAGCGAATTATTGAAATAAAATTAAAACCATATGTTAGTCCCGAAATGACCTAGTTTGTGTCGAGTGGACGTTAAACCTCATTTCATTTCTCTCTCTCTCTCTCCCCATTAATCCTATACTATTGCCAGTTGAGGAATTGGCAAGAATATCATTTTCAACTTCAAATTCAAACGTTTGAAGATAGCTATTCCATGGAGGGGAATAGAAAAACAAGGGAGGTAATTGTGTTATTAATAGTGAGCTGACAACCTATTGAGCAAAAGACATAGAAATAATTATGTTTTGACTTTCTTAGAAAATATGAAATTCTCGCTTTAAGTTGTTTACTTACTTACTTTCTAAACATAAAACAGGAAATAGGAGTAATATGTTCTGGGTTTAGTTGAATAAACAGCATTTTAAAAACTAAACTCGGGTTAACATAAACATTTATAGGAAATATAAGAGAGTATCAACTAATCCCTTTTTACTGAATTTTGGCCAAAAAAGTGAATCAGCTAATAATCTTTTAATGGCATTTAGCGATCGGGAAACACATTAACAGAACACAGTTTGTATGGGATACAATCGAAACGTCGTGCCTTTAGAATAAACTAGTGATTGTATCCCATAAAAACTGTGTTCTGTTAGCTATTAATGTCTTTGGTTCTTTCATTTACACACTCAATGTTTATACATGTCATTATCGGCGTGGCGTTCACAAAAAATGTTATTACAAAAATATATCAACTATGATATAACATATCCACCATGTCTGTGAAAACCTACCATAGTAATTCCAGTATCTTGAACCATGAGTGTATAATCCATAGAAATATTAGCTGCTAATATAATACCAAATATATAGTTGTTAATATTACTGTATGTTGTATAGATTTTACCTTCTGGTCCAACATTACCCCCAAACGCCATCTAAAAATTTAAATACAGTCGAATTTGTTATACAGCTTGAACACAAAAGGGCAACCGAATAAAATATAAAGAAGGAAGAAGCTTTGAGTAAATGTGTCTTTTATTTTCCCAACGATTAATTCAGGACAATAATATATAAGAAATTAACTTTTTGCTTGGGTTTGCTTTGCTTGTTTCAACAGAGTTCAGTTCTGCTAAATATAATATTATGTGTAATGCTTAAGATAATTGCATTATGTCACATAGCAATTGTAACCTCGTTGAGAACAATCCATTCCTCTAAGCTGTTTAGTTTCTTGCTCGTTTTTAAGTGGATTGCAATATAATAATGGCGGTTTTGAAAAGTTCACACTAAACCATGAGAAGAAGGTCAATAATCCTTGTATTTATCAATTATCCCGCTTTCCTTATAGTTTTATTGTTTTGGACACAACCCCGACCGTAATGTCATAAAAAGCTGGACATGCATCTTTCGAAAGGCGCAGTGCATAATATGGCCTTCTATCAATGTATACTTTAAGCTGTTTCAAAGAAAGAATCCTCGTGATAATTCTCAAAAATATAAAACAAATCTGCATCAAGATATTGGACTATTAATGCATAGGAAATGTTATGTCTATTGTTACCTGTTGGATTTGTTTATCAATAGCTGTAGCAGGTTTGCTTGGTTTCAAAATTAAACCTTCTGCATTGCAGCTTCTATAATACAATATTTAAATTCATTTTAGTGTTTAAGTGTACCAAGACATTCACAATGAAAATCTAAAACACTAGAGCGATTAGAAGGTTCTAATGACTAATGATTGGACAAATAAATACAAATAATTTAAGAATTATATGAAAATAATTATGTATTAAATCAGATAAAGTATAGTACTGCTATATGTACTGTAGATAAATACATAAATAAATAAAAAAAATACGTCCAGGTCAAAAATGCACCACTCTGACATACATTATGCTTCAGAATGTATCATGTATATACATGTACAGTGAACAGCAATTATACAATCATTAAACTGTACAAAATACGTTTGTTATTTCAGTAATTTTATTTAGATCTTGGTTATTGTGAAGAAAACTACAGAATTACGATATGATTCATCGTTGTGAATAGTGCAGTAATACAAGTAAGTTCTAAATAAAATTCCTGAAAACACCTTCATGTATACACCTTCATGTATACACCTTACAAGATATCGATGACAAGCCATGGTTCATCTTAAGCACATCATGTTTTAATTGATGCACCAATTTTGATAGGTGTCAAGTTTATAAGAGGTTGAATAAGCCGAGCAAGGTTTAAAATAAACCCTTACCCACAGAGTGATTAAACGGAATGATGGACGGACAGCCCGAAACGGACCAGGACGGTATACGACAACATAACACATGCACATGCACGTTTTATTGTGGTATCATTCAGAGCCAAACATGAGCTATCCATGATATTTATATTTTGAGAGACGTGAATCGATTCGATTTCCTGTATATTTTGAGTCGATAGATATCCCAGAGATGCAGTAATCAGTGAATGATTTGCGAGAGATGGGTATTTCCGAAACATGTTTTTCATTGTTTCTGATGTACAAGCCTGCATCTGTAACAAGATGACTATTGAATCTGGGAGAAAAATTAACAAACTATTATTGAATACATACCTCATGATGAGACTGCGATTTGAATATCCAACCAAATCACTGGGACCAACAGGTCCGGTACTCAATGTAGATATAACAGCATGGAGAGCTGTGTGGGGCTCTGTTGCATCTAAAGGGGTAACATTAAAAAAGCATTTTAAAACAATCATGTTGCGTTTCCCCAGCCATATACTTTCAAGTGGTTTGAATATTAAAAAGAAAGATTCCAAAATTAAACGACGATTTGTTGCTCACCATGTCATAATTGTTATGGTATAACTCGTTTTTCAATTGTGTATCTTTATATGAGAAACTATGTTTGCTTATCATCACACTTACTATATCGATTTTGTGGCTGAACTTCCATTGTCCAAAAATTGTCTTTGTATGGTGCTATGCCCAAAGCTTCAGCAAGTATAGAAGATACTCCGATTGTCCAGTGGTCTGTGTTGGGACGGTTATCTGCAAATGCTCGTGCCTGCAATGGAAGAATTGGTGTTTACATGCCAAGCTAAAATTTACGACTTTTCGTGTCTGGAATTTATTAGAATAAAATATATCAGAATTTTTAAGATAATTTACCCACTATTATACAAGATATGTTGTATATATCTAAGAATTACCTGAGTGACAACAGGTATTTCCAGTGCAGCCATGGCATGTCTGGGGTAGCTCATGCAATACTGAAGCGTCAAGCCATTTTTCCTGGCAGCGTTTCCCATTTCCATCAACCAGGTCTTACCGGAAACAACATCGGAAACAGTAGCGTTGATCGAATCAAAGTTTGTATTTAAAAAATCCTGAAAAACAATTCTTGAAATGATTTCTCAGCCATCTTGGTGGTGATTACTCTATTTTGAAGATACCGTTTTGTAGGACCTCGAATTTTGTCTACTGGTTTGGATTATTCGTGCTTAGTTTTATTTTATTTTATCTCTCAAAATTCCAGCTTATTGCGTTTCTTTTAAATATTATTTCTTCAGACAGGCCGTTAGCTTCACAGACTGGAAATGCTACAAGATTTTCTAGAAATAGTAAACCGAAGGACTGGTGAAACAAAGGAAAAAGCTAGAGTATGGCCGTACAGCTTCCTTGCTAATACACGATAGTTGATAACGGTAGATTATTCAGTAGTTGTGGGGCATTATAAGGCTAAAATATTTCATGCGGATTATTACACATGTATGCATGCATCCATCCATCACATACAAGATATAAAAAGAAAGAACCGTGGCATATGTATGTACATTGTACATTGCATTAGTTTAATTTAGATAGGTGACGTGGCATTACACGGAATTACATAGATTTACATAGGATTTATGAAACCAACGTGAGAGCTTGAGGAAACAAAGAGACTGATTACGCGGGGCCCCCCAAAAACGTGGGGCCCTAGACCATGGCCTAGTTGACCTGTGCCTTAATCCGGCACTGGTTGTTAACATAAACATTTACCTGTTCATACACCATTAATCCCCAAGTTTTGCCATCTTTAAAAAGGTCATTCCAGAAACGCTGAAATACAAAAAAAAAAGTTAAACATCTGCGTCTTTCTCTCGGTCCCCTACCATTACTAAGCCATAATAATTGTCGGCTTCTTGATAAAAGTTGACATAAACAGGTCATTATAAAAATAAATTATAACATTATGCAACATTATACTTTTTAGTGTTAAAACATCTCGGCCTTTTACTCGTCCCATTTATTACGCAAAACATTGGATTGGCTTCATATTGGAAGTCATATATGAGATTATATAATTGAAGCTGATGGCATAGTGTATGTGCCCTACAAAATTGACATTTTATTGGCTTCCGACAGAAAGTCATATAGGTAATTGTTACAAAACTGTTGCCAGAATACAATAATGACAGTCAGAAAGTTAACAAGGGTAGGGAAACAGATCGAGGGTCAGGTCTAGATCAAGGTAAAAGAGAGATTTAATAAGAACAACTAATATAATCAGAACAAAGAACAGCATACCTCCTCAAAAGGTAAAGCATGGCCGTGTGAATCAAGAATAAAGTTGTACATCCCACCATTTTCTTTTGCATAGGTTGTAAGGTTAGACCTGTAAGTATATAAGAATAAAATAGTCTATCATTAATAAAAACGAGAGTAAAGAAATGTATGTTTTCTATGAGATAGTAGGGCCGTGGAGTTGATGATTTAATCACTGACAAAAGAATCCTCAAAAGACGCCTATCTCTATGTTTTTAAAAGTTGAAAGATTTTTCTTCCAAATAATGGCATTTTGCAGGGGATTCCCGGGACCACGACCTTGGCCATGGTTTAAAAAATACAAAATAACTTACCAGTACATATTGTGTGCCACAACAGGCCATTGTGTATTCTCGTAGATCTTTCTGTATTTTAAAGACAGGTAGAGGTATAATATACATCAATAATACATTTATGATAGTATATACTTTGTACCTAGATTGCTTTTACATTTCTGACGGTCTACTGTCCAATTGATATTGCATATTAATATTGCATATCTCGTCTAATGTTACATATTTTCAATTTTCCATTACACTTTTTATACGTTCTTTATTCATTCAGGTGTGTATTGCAAAATCGATACTTTTGCATGCATTTCGTTTGTTTCTCAAAGGCAATACATTAGCTTAATTATATAACTATAATCGATAAAAATAAAAAAAATAATATGTAAACTATTTCACAGAAGCATCTAGAATACTAATGACTGATATTTACCGCCTTCCAGACGGGAAGACACCGGGTCGAGGCGTCCAACTGATCGTTCCAGTTCCCGCCGCCCCATTAGTTCTGATATACCACCAATCGTCATATTGGACATATCTGCAAAAGAAAGATAGTTTATTTAAACAGAACCAGAACACTATAATTATCTTAATGTCAACCCCGATGCCTCAAAAGCAGAACCCTTCGATATTCAACCGGTTTATGCAAAACAGTAGGACGTTAAACCCAAAATATCCTTTTCAGAACAATGCATGACGTATACCCGTCTTTATTATCCCAGGAGGTTCGGAAAGTAGGACGGAAAACCCTATTTCAGCCATTTTGTTCACAGTTGTTGTCGGATCCTGTGATGCATGGTAAAGTACACGAATAGCAGCAGCTGAAGTGAATTTTGCAACGAATATTCCTTTAAATTAAACCATTTCTTCAACTGAATAGCCATTGCTTATCCTATTACCCTAGTTTGATACAAGTGTAAAATACTTGCCTGTATGGTATATTGGTTTTCATAGCGTAGCTTTGTACATCATAGATAGTTTGTTCATATGTCTTCTGTGGCTCTGTTGCCCAATAATAAGTCGCCCCTAGCCTCAGAGAAATAAAAAGAAAATAATGCATTGTTACCATCTAGTCAACGAACAACATTGTTGTAAGAAATCAGTGTCAGAAAAGCGAAAAATATACCAAAAGCCCCTACACGAAACCAGTGCTTCCTGGTTTGATTGTTCACAAAGCAAGTCATAGATTTGTGCAAATGTTAAGTGGTATAACCTGCTTTGGCTGTTCAAAAATAAAATCATAGATTTCTTCGACTTGAACTAAATGTTTTAAGCTTACAAATGTATGTAAAATTATATAATTATAAACCTTAACGACGTCTTACCATTATCAGTCCAATATCCAAGATAGTTGATCGTCATATCAGCTTTTCTGTAGGATGGGTCTTTACCATAAAAATCTCTCATTAGACTTCCCCATTCTTCAAAGGCCTATTAAATATCACACTGATATTCTAAAAGGAATATATGACTCTAACTTTCATCACATCCGGTTGATTAAACCAATATGAAGTATCCACAATCGAGATACCATTCCAAATTCTTCAGAGTTTGTCTACTGTAGTTTGTATTCAACCATGTTTGGATCGAATGTGAGTAAATTATATTATCAAGTACAGTGAATATCGAAATTTAACTTTAATAATCATACAATGCGGTATTTTATGAAAAATTCTAAAAAAAGAATTCATACCTTGTTTATCCCATTAGGGCTGTAAAATATCATGAACTGTGACATAAAATCTTCTGGAATTTCCATGACTCCTCCCATAATACCCCAGCTTAATCTGTTAGGCTGCTGACTTGTATCAAGGTACGTTGATGCTGACATGAATTCACTAAATGGAGCTATGATAACAACATTGTCTTTCTTATCAAAAAATGCAACAGGTCCACCCATTGTCCCCGTACTCATATCAATCTTTCCTGGTGCCCAGCTGAAAGGGAAACATGATCAGATTTAATAAAAAGCGCATTTAAACATACCTCAGACTGAAAAGTTTTTATGAACAGATAAGGACACAATACATTATTGACTATGATTTATAATTTTTAATATCCCCTGACGTTTACTATCTGTAATTCATATATTTGGGCAGTGTGGGGTGATACTTGAGTGGTCTATTACTGTACCATGATGTTTGTTTCGACTGGATGTTGAATATAAATATGTTAAAATAGTTGAATACTTACGTGCCAAATTGTATGTTACTAGTACCAAACTGAATCCCAGCATATTCTAAATATCCCAGTTCTCCAGCCATGGTTCCATCAATCATAATAGCAGGAAAAGCTGATATAAGTTTATCTTTGTCTCCTGCAGATGTCCCAGAGGTTTTGTTTAAATAATGCTGCAATTAGTGTATTATATTACCAAATGAATGAATAAGTCATTTTGTTTCATTTGCTTTATAAATATAAGAGTCAGACCTGATCGTCAAAAGAAGAAAAACGAAACTAATTTGTGTCCAATGCATTTAAGTTATCATAAAACTTAATGACCGGTCTAACTATAGAATTCATAAATACCTGCTGGAGAATTACATAATTTTTTTTATCATAAACTTTATATCCAAGAGCTACTACATTATCATCTACTCCTAAATACCATGTAGCTGTTTCAAAATCTCCCAATCTATCAGTACCTTGATGGGGCGTATCTAACAATCCTTTCAATTCTCCTCTAGCTGATGAATATTCCTTCCAATCTTTTCTAAACACGAGAGGTGCATTTTTGAACCAAATGGCACCGTTAACTGATATGTTATAAATCTGGTCATCAAACCAATGATTTACTTGGACTTGACCAGGGGTCACACATTGACCACAGTGGGCTGAAAGAAAGAAAAGATGGCGAATGAGGGGTGAGCATATAATAAATTCAAAAATCCTAAACACGATGTTATATCTGTCCGGGAGGTTTGAAAATGGCTGTATTCTTACTTGATCTGACCTACACAAGTAGATTTACATACTGGAATAAGGTGGGTTAGCGAATCTAATTAATCATCATAAGCTGTTTTGCTAGCATGTAGAAACAATATAAGTGTTCTACCACACAGTATCAATTTACTTTAGTGCCAAAATTTCAACATTGTACCCTACCAAACAAGGCATTCTACAGTCTTTATCCATTGTATTATCAGTAGTTCTCTATTAAAACTAAGTTTATATCAGGGATGGATTGGCGAATGCTTAAACTAACACTTCTATAATAATTGTTAGTTATGTCAACTTTGCGAATAACATACAGTAGTATCGGGTGTTCTACACATACACGTTCTCGTGTATGTCATCTGCCACTTTCCAAACGTAATTTGAACGGTATGTGGATTTAAGAAGACATGCTATTTGGCATATGCCGGTGACCTTGGATATATTGTCACCAGCCATGATAAACGCATAACAATTAATGTCTATCGTTTACAATGGTTGCGAAGCCTATACAAAACTATCAAGAACGATCTTACATAATGCATATTTAATAACAAAAACTTACCAAATACAGTAATGGCTACAATGAAGCACAACCAAGTCATGTCGGTTGAATTTAATATCTGTCATAAGAAGGTGTTTTGATTTTTATCTTAGTTCGAGGTTAATATATTTTATCATTATCTTTTAGTAACCTACATAGTCTGATATCATACAATAACGATAACACGAATTATCTATAATATTAAGTGCAGGAGAACAAAAAAGAAAACTACAGCCTTTCGAACTGATAGATGAAGGTCAAATTTTATCAAACATTTTAGTTTTATTTTAAAGCTATATTGTCATTTAAATTTATGTGTATATTTCTACTAAACATCATGTACCATGTTAAGTAATTAAATACATTGTGATACATTAGAGTGAAATATCTGTACATCGATGATTAACCAAATATTTATATTTCTGGTATTAAACCTTAATCGTGAAATATAGTCTGATGCATCCATCCAAAAAGGCTGGGTATGCTCTTATGAAAAGTACTCTAGCCGTTTAGGTTTTCCATATAAGCTTACGATTTTTCTTCGAATTGTCAAAATAATATCTTTTCAAAATTTGGCGCGCAATATATGCGAAGATTCGACGGAAATCAAAAATCTAAAGTACCGTAGCCTTTTGCCCTGCATCCAGTTATGTCAAAATGTATCAAATGTCAAAAGACGACGACTTCAGTGATTTCAGACATTTCGCAGTGTCGCAGAAAGTACGAAATAGCCACACCAACTGTCCTAACAAAACCAAAGACATCGGGTAATTCCGAAGGGTAGATTACCACTGTTTCGCTAAAGGGTCATTTTGTGAATATTATGGACATGGAAATGAAATGAAATGACGGACAATTTTACTGCATCAATGTATAGTGTACTATGTGGTAAATTATGCCCGGACAGCGTCCTTTCTACCTACACTTCAGGTGTACACCAACGTGTCACGTGACAGGTTTGTGGACATGGTATCGCTTATCTTTATTATATATAATCATGATGACACCAATTTTTCATAAAATTCGAGATTACATTTTGAACGAACAATATGCATTTCAGTGGACACGAAGCATGAAGACGTAGATGGTTGTCAAAATGATATTTGGTTACTATCCTCCATTTCTTGTCTGAAACAATACTCTATATTAAGTATACCCATGGCATGAAGATATCAGCGATATGACTCCCGTGGAAGTGGGAGTTAAATAAAGCTATTTCACACACATACACACACGACATGAAGATACTACATACACAAGCAATTATTTCGGTTGGGGGTCCTCACAGGTAACAAACTGCGTTTATACTTTCTGAAATGCTAAGTTCCTACAGACAGCACAGTCTTTATTGTTGTGTATTTGTGTTTAAAACCAAATAAATATATCGATGTTATAAGATTTGATTCAAATTCGTCGTTTTATAAGGGACAGGTCAGTGCAATTACTGCCACAGAGTTAGGAGATGATAGATAACACTAGCCTGTTTTAAGCCAAAGGTCATGGTGAGAAGACTAGGTCAATATTTTGTAATTTAGAAAATTTGCTGCACCCAGGGAACTAAAACGAACTTCTGAGTTCCTGAAACTATGATAGTCCGTTAGCAGAAAAATTCAGAATCTTTCAAATAACAACAACACATTTTATGATTTAAGAATAAGTTTATCCCAGATTAACTAGTACACATTTTATTATTAAAGCTCATCTCAGCAGAACCAGACGGTCCTAAGCTACACTTAATAACTTCTTCTATCATATTTCTAAAGAATCGGAAGCTAACTGTTTCATTTGGGACACCAACAATCCGAAGGTAGAGATCCACAGAACTAATGCGGACTCCGGTTACTCTATTATTTGACATAGGTGTCCATTTATCAACTTCACCATAAATCCTGACCTTGTCATTTCTGAAAATAACATATAACACACTTGTTTATTGCATGAGACGAAATGTGTAAAGGTTCAGATAACGGGGCGTTTAAATATGCAAATCAAAATGTAGGAGGGAATAACTGTTATCAAATGGTTCTGTTCAAAATGGTCGCCAAAATTGATTAACGGGAAAA